CTGCTGATTTTAGCCAAAATTAAGGACTTTTAAGGACCAAAAATCAATTTAAAAAAATTTAAGGACTTTTAAGGACTCTTAAGGACCGTACAAACACTGTTCTAGTTCTGTGGCTAAAAAGTCAGCTACAGAATATCACCAAAGCATGCGTATGGCTTTAGATGCTAATGTTGTATCATATGACACTGTGAAGGTTTGGTGCCAAAGTTCAAAAACAAGAACTATGACATTCAAGAAGAAGCAGAGTGCTCTGGCCAGCCTACTGATGTTGATGAGGCCCACCTAATAGAACTTGTCGAAGAAGATCAGTATGCAACCACTCGAGAGCTTGCTAAGGCGTTAGACATTAGTGTCATGTCCATTAGTCGTGCTATGCATCGCAAAAACTTAACATATAAGTTCAATCACTGGGTGCTGCATGAACTGACTCAAGCAGATAAGAACAGATATGTTCGGGTCTTCACTAATTTGCTTAAATATCAACACAAGGACAAAATTCTGGATCGGATCATCACTTATGATCAAAATTGGATTTACTTCAACTACACAGTCTGAAAAGGGGTTGGTCTGCACCTAGTGAGCCTGACAGCAGCGTCGCAAAGTCCAATTTGACTAACAAAAGTATTGTGCTTAGTATCTGGTTTGACTGCCGTGGTATTATCCACAAAAAGTATCTAGGAAAAGGTAAAACACTCGACAGTAAGGTATACAGCAAGACGCTAGCCCATATTGATGCTGCAATCAAGAAAAAATGTCGAATTGAGCTCCCGTGCCAAAGGGTAAGCAGTTTTCATCTAGAGCAGCGCTGTCAAACTTATCATAGCCCACAGGGCATATTTTCTTCACCAAACATTTCGGGGGCCAAGAAGGTTGATAAATGAAAAGTCAGTTTATGTTAATTAAAAAAATATTGTATTTATACTAAAAAGAAAATTTTAAAATATTCGTAATATATTAATGAGAACATTGTGGCCGTAATTGTTTAGCAACAATATATTTTATGTCCACATCAATATTTGTTGTGATAAGTCTAATTATATCTTCAAGAGTGGAATCTTTCAAACTGTTTCTATATTTTGAATATATATTTCATATCAGAGTATACACGCTCGCAGATATATGTACTTCCGAACATTGATACAATTTGAAGTCCAAAATCTCTCAATTTTGGATATTTCTCGTGTAAAGAAAAAAAGGCCTTCTTCAGGGCCATACAAATAATTTAATAAGATTCAATATAATTGCTGCCATGTATTCTGTCTTTTTTTTTTTTTTTGTACATTAATTTTTTTTTTTTTTTTTTACTTTACATTAGATCATTTTTTTAAATAAAGATCTATTGTGATAGCAATTATTCCATCTAATTAAATTTATGTAAAAATTTCAATATTTCTATTCCAGTTACTCCACGAGATGTAAAAAATGAGTCAGCCTGCAGGTCACATAATTCTATTTGACATTTAAGATCAATGGAGTTGATATCAATATTAATTGGATCACAAAATAAATCAATACACAGTTAAGATCATCAAATTGAGAAAATCTTTCATTGAAATCTGTAATTAGCATATCTAATTTTGGTAGAAATATTTTAAAATTCGCTTCTATATAACATTCCTTCATAGATCTCTTTGCAAGATACAAAATAAAATAAATTATTTTGCTCCAAATTAAACCTTAACAATTTTAATTTGTTTCTAAATCCAGTAACATATTTATAAAGGCAACACACATTTTGATCTTTTGATCTTGATCTTTTGATTTTGTTCTTGTTATTCAAAATATTTAAATAATTTGTAATATCCGTTAGGAAAGCAAGTGAATAAATAAAATTTTTATCAACTAAATTTGCTGTCAAATTTTCATCGATGGCAATTTCTGTGAGAAAAAGATGAATGTCTTTACGAAGTGTAAAGAATCTCCTCAAGCACTAAACCAACGAACGTTACTATGTAAAAGCAGATCTCCATACTCAGTTTCCAATTCATCCAAACATGTTTTAAATTTTCGGTGTGTAAGAGAACGATTTCCGCCGCGAATTAAATTAGTAATTTTGCAAACCTTGTCCATTATATCTTTTAGTTGTAGGGATAAACCACATAATGCCTCCTGATGGATAATACAGTGTAACATACGACATGTTATTCCTTCTTTTTGCAAAAGTCCCGCGAGCCCATACTTTTGCCCGTCATAGCTCTAACATCGTCAGTTACAATAGCAGTGCACTTGTCAAATCCGCCATACTGCTCTACTGAACATTTTAATTGTTTGTAAATATCTTCACCTTTTGTAGTTCCATGTAATGATTGTAATTTTAAAAGTTCTTCTGAATAATTATAGTTTTCATTTACAGTTCTTATAAAGATAAGCATTTGACTTCTATCGGAAATGTCTGTGCTTTCATCCATTGCTATCAAAAAATAGCAGCAACTATTGATTAGGTTTTCTAATTTATTAGTGACATGCATGCCAATCTTGTTTATACGTCGGCTTACAGTCAGGTAAGAAAGTGATACTGTTTGAAATTTTCTTACCATTTCGTTGTCATTAAATGTTTGAGCCATTTTTATGGCACATTTTTTAATGAATTTTCCATCCAAAAATGGCTTCTTTGCCTTTACTATTTCTAAACAAACTTCAAACGATGCAGCTACAGATGCTTCTTGAAATTTTGGTTCTTGATTAAAATTAATCGTTTGATGATCCAGCTGCTTTTTCATTTTTTTCACTAGTAGTATTTTCATGTCTCGCGTGTACAAATGATACGTTTTTTCATGCATGGAAAGATAATGGTGCTTTAAGTTATATTCTTTACACACAGCTATGATTAGTAAACATTCCAAATACTGTGGTTTGCGATTCTTGTTCAGAATAAATAAATAATCTATCTCCCAGCGATCTTGTAATTCTCGATTTTCGAGGTCTATTTTTCTTTTATTAGTAGCCCTCATGTTCAATAATTATTTTAATTAATAAAAAAACATGAAATTAAGTTAATAATATTATAACACAACACATTAAATATGTTAAGTGAATAATATTATAACACCCCTCAACAAATTCTAGACAAGACTGCTATCGCACAATTGCATGAATCAACCAAATAGCGCAGGGTATTGTGCGCATCACGTGCGCCAACCATAGATAAGCAACAACCAACCACAAATATAATATGTGGTGCCAACGTTAAGCCAACCAACATCAGACGTTAAACGGATTGCTGCTGTATTCAGCCAGGTTAAGTGAAGTTACTCAAACTAAATAGCACCTACTTTAAATTCAAATTAGATTTAAATTTTCACATAGTAAAATAATTTTAATATTAATAATAATAGTAACATAAATTTATTCACAGTAAAATGTATTCGCGGGCCATAAAAATAATTTGGCGGGCCGTTCGCAGGCAGTAAAAATAATTTGACAGTCCTGATCTAGAGAAAACAAAGGTCACATGTATCTGCATTCACTGGCTGGACTCTGGACTTCAAATGGGATCTTTTGCCACACCCACTACATAGCCCTGACATCGCACCTTTAAACTTCTACCTTTTTTCCACACCTGCAGCTACATCTTGCCGGTGCTATCTTCCATTTTGTACAGGAAGTCTGAAATGAGGTTGATCTGTTTTTGGATTCAAAGCCACCAAGTTTCTGGACTTTGAAAAACCAACAAAACATTAGCAGAAAATCATAGATTTGGATGGTGATTACCCGCACTAAAGTTACTGCTAGCATGTTTTTTTTCCAAATTTATTAAGAACATTTTTTATCAAAAACTTTTGTAACAACCAGATACAGTCAAAAGTCGTTAATTCGGACACCCATAATCCGGAATGATCTATAATCTGGACCTCAAAGCTAAAAACTTTCTGCGCATGCACCGCATTGGCACATCCCGCTTATTATTTTTTGCAGACTGTAAGAGCAATTTTATAAACATAAACTTGAAATTTCGATTATGTCAAATAGAATTTCCGATGCTGGAACTTCCAAAGGATCTACAAAACGAAAGTATGTTTCGATGTCCAACAAATAAAAAGTGGAATTGCTCCAAGAAATGGATAAAGACATGAAGAATGTGACAGAGAGGTTAGTGAAAACGAAAAAATTTCGATTGACAAGTTAGTCGGTATTCTCGGCACAGCAATTAACGGGACTTGAACAGCGGAACTTTGTAACTGAACAAAATAAAGAAAATTATGTCTGTTTATAGAATTAAGGAGAAAGTATTATCACATAAACGAAGCAACTTAAACAACTTACATTGAAAGAAATGTTTAATAAAGTAAACAAATAAAACATTAAGCTTTTTTTTTTTTTTTTTTTTTTTTTTTTTTGTAAATTTTGATACCCTTTAGATCATAATTGTTCTTTATTTCATAAATTACGGTTTCATATTTTTAATTTTAGAATTTCTGCATGCCATCTTACGAGATTTAAACTGATGATCTATAATCCGGAAAAATCGATAATCCGGAATCGCCGAAGTCCCGACGAGTCCGGATTAACGACTTTTGACTGCATATTGAATATCATATTCTGAGAAAAACATAGGGTTAATTCAACCAGTTTACCAATCATAATATATCACACATTAAATGTACTTTGAGATTATTTAAATTGTATAGTAATAATGTGAATTGTGCAATAATAGTTTCCTTAACATTTTTGACTACACATTTTGAATGCAAAAAGTAAACTACGAAAAAGGTATGCTTTTCCAACTAAATAATTTTAAGACATATCACATTAATATTTTATTATTAATTTTTAAATTCAAAACATGATTTATGCATTCAACCACTATTCTTATTCACAAAAGTTTTTTATGTTTGATAATATTTCATCCGAACAGAATTTTATCATAACCAAGAGGGAAGGAAAAGTTGTTTCTATCTAAAAGAATCTGAAGTAAAATTTCATAGTTTCCCCTTTTTCTTACCCATACACTCTAATTTTTAAACACACAAGAAAGAAAAAGAAAGTGACGAAAATTTTACCACATGTCAATAGCAAAAGTGTATGTTATGGATCCAAATAATATTTCAGGAGCACGATACCTGGAAAAATAATATACATGTAGACAGCAATACACAATTTTATGAGATTTAAATAACATGAAGTGAAAATTTGGATTAAAATATGATGAAGTAAAAACTAAGTCCCAATATTTTTACCATCTTTTTGTTCATATGCAACAGAAACTACTTAACGATTAAGTCTTCTGACTATACCTCATTATTTGTAATCATTTTCCTCAAAATACCATATTTTCAGACATAATTTTTTATGATAGTTTCAGTTATAATTAGTTTGTTGGGGGAAAAAAAAAAGAAAAATAATTACAAACTAAATCAGACATTATTATGCTAGGAAAAAAAAATTAAATCTAGAACTTCAAAATTTATTAACTCTTAAAATACATATGATAGACATACTTTTTTTAACTACTTCCAAACACTTTTTCAGTGAAAGCAACAAATTAAAGAAATAATAATAACAAAGCAATTACATACATGTCAGATACACTTTTAAGCACATTTTAAACACAGCTTATACACACCCACTGGCTTTTACTTAGAGCATTCCGCAAGTGCTATGCTCAGAAAACGCAATGAATAATACTCCTGGAGAAAATACCCATAGAAGAACTCAGTAACTGAATGACAGTTTAAAAATTATTCATTAAGGTGCATTAATACCTCTACAAACTGTATATTAATATTTTTAAATTCTATATTAGTAGCTTGGATTGCTTTGTATTGGATTGTTCGGAAAATATATCTGTTTTTACATGAACCTTTTTTTATATAAATCTGACTTAACATAAATTTAAAATAAATATTTCGCTTTCTTTTTGTATGTATCGTTTTGATTTAACACAAGAGGCCAGGCTAATTTCGAGGAATTCCCTTCCTTCCCCCCCCCTCAAATTCTAAGACAAGCAATTTTTATTTTGTGGCACAGTAATACATCCATACGCGAATAGATTGAATAACAGCTAATGAAGGAGAATGAAGTGTCCCCTGCTGGAAAGTAGTGAGTCACAAGACTAAATGTATTAATTTTTCTTTTGCTTCAGAATATGGAACTGAAATTTGTAAATTGTAGTGTAAATTTATTAACTTTAATGAAAGTCAATAAATTATAAATGTATGAATTTATCTCTTATAATAATTGAAATATGCTTTGTTAGCCCTTATATAATATCATATAATTCACTTAGGTGCTACACCTGTGGAACCAATGGCTGTTTAAAGTTTCACATATTTTTATAAGATTGGTTGCATGAGGTTCTTGTTTACAGAAGAAAAAATGCTAACACCATAAAGCACAATTCACCAGCAACTACATAATTTTTAACTATTAATTATTACTTTTGTTGTTACAGTAACTTACATGCTGGTCTATATAGGATTGTCCAAACAGAATGTTCTCTAATTCCAGATTTAGAAATACCAAGAGTTGAATCGAACCTTCGTCCAGAGCAAGTGACTAGTGTTGCTGTAGTATTGCTCGAGGTTTTAGTAGGCTCAGAGTCAGATTGGGTAGTGCATTTGAGGCTGGTGGGCTGACAGCTGCAGGAGCAGTGCCGGGTGAACATGACAGTCATCAATCAGGAAAAATGCCAGCTTAAGATGATCAGCACTAATTGTAGATGCCCTATTGGGGATGGAGATGCTGAAATGCTTTGCTGTTTGAGAAAGCACTTGATAGAGGCCACCGCAAGGTGCTTTAAATGGCTTTTGGACACCATCTTGATACAGGAATATCACTACACAAGAATCATGTCGAGAGATCTTTTATCATGGCACAGGATACAGGCAACAAGACCATAAGGTAACATCTTTGGAAATTGATGGCCAAACAAAACATGCAAGAACAAGTTTTTTAATAGCATAGATGCCTGGGTGCAAAAGTTTGTGCAACGAGTTGAAGATCTGTATGTGAAATTTTGACGTAACGTAAATTCTGATCTGCTTATTACTTGCAGAATATTTGCAAATCAGGGATGACATTTAGTAGTTGCAACTTATGTGAACAGTTAGGATTATTCAGAAGAGACTTGAGTTCATAATCTAGTGTTTGGTCAACTGCAATAGCTACAAAATCAATGGTACCTTTAGCGTCAATTTCTTAGATATGGGACAAAGTATCTGCGACGATGTTATCTGTTCCAGCAACATGCTGTATGTCTGTCAAGAATTGAGCTATGTAGTTAAATTGAAGTAATTGTCAGCGTGAACTGCAGTCAGATATTTTGGTAATAGCAAAAGTTAATGGATGGTGGTCCTTAAAAATTATAAATTTTTGACATTCTAGAATATGTCAAAAATATTTGATGGCACAGAATATGTCAAGTAACTCGCAGTCATACATGCTATGGGAACTTCTAAATGAAAACAGCATAACTGAAATATTACATTGCAATGACAAAGCCTTAATCATGGCAAATATCTGTAATATGGCTTTAAATTCGGAAAATATCACCACTTCAGATATTTATTTTAATTTAACACTTTTAATTTCACATGGTGTGATTCTTTTTTTAGGATGGAAAAAGAAAATAATGAAATTAAAAAAAAAAGTTAAGTGATTATTGCAAATTAAAGTTAGCATTTTATATCCCTATGTTTTGTCACTCACATTCACATACATATTGGGTCAGTCCATAAATTCGTGCACATTTTTTGGTAAATTTTAAATAATATAAAAAAAACACAACATTTTAATCAATTATATATTTTCCTCCATTATCTACAATGTCTTGCCATCTTACAGGCAGCTTTTTTATACCATTGCTGTAGAAAGACTCTGGTTTTGATGCAAAAACACTTGAAAGTTCATTGTGTACATCCTGTTTAGAATGTAATTTTTTTCCCAGTAAAAAATTTTGTAAGGCACGAAATAAGTGAAAATATCTTGGGGAAATATCTGGGGAGTAAAATTCAATAATTTTTTGCAGCGTTGTTCAAACCGTATGCGGTCTAGCGTTATCATGACGAAACAACACTTTCTTGATATTCACCAATCGTGCATGTTTTTTTATGTTTAGTTGGCAAAGATGTTCACGATGAAACAACACTTTCTTGATATTCACCAATCGTGCATGTTTTTTTATGTTAAGTTGGCAAAGTTGTTCACTATAAACTTCTGAATTAATCGTTTGGTTTGGTTCTAACAGTTCAAAATATCCTGAACGGGTTTCATCATCAGTACTGCTTTTTCCAACTTTGGAGAATCCAACCATTAAATGATTTAATGATGGTTTAAAAAATGAACATTTTTCCATTTCTGGGCAGTCCTTACACTAATAGTGTGTTCACCATGTACACTATTAATTTTTATCACTGAAAACCTGGCAGATTAACCACACGAAAATAAAAAATATAGCACAGCCCGTTTGTACTGATTATCTATAGTCATCTTCTATGGGTACTAAAATGTGTTCGATATTTATAAAAGTTGGTGATGAACTGAATAATAGGTTAGTCAAACGATGACAAGTTTCAACAGGTTCAAAATTGTATGTTTTAGTAAATGCGTCATAGTGAATTTCAGGCATACTCTTAATGCACATGAACTTATGGACTGACCTGATATTTTAAGTTTGCATTAAGGAAACTTTGTTACTTATTTGTTTGGAAAATATTAAGGAAATATTTATTTAATAATGTGAGCTTTCCTAAGCAATCTTAAATCCATGTTAACTATATTTTATTGCAGTTTTACACACATTAAAAAGTCAAATATTTTATAATTTTTTAAAATTATTATTCCTTCTTTCTCTCTCTGTGTACATGCACACATACATACATATAAATGAGATAACACATGTACACTGTGCAAAAAAAGGGGGGGGACAGTTCCCATTTTCGTCTGTTCTAATATAGGTATTTTGATACAAAATTGGACTTTTTTGAAATGACATGCCTATGTTTTTCCATATTTCGATTCTACAACTCAAATTACACCTAAACACTAAATTTTGTAAATTTTGGGTGTGAAATTTACAGTGAAATTCAAAATTATAACTTGCCACATTTTTTTCAGTTTATTCCAAGAATAATTCACTTGGTGAGCTTCTTAAGTTAACCTATAAAAAGCAACATATTTTCTCTTCCTTTTTTTCATTGTAGATGAGCAGAAAAAAAGTTATTGTTCAAACTTTTAAATAATTTTAGCAAACTGCGTACACCACATTTGGTGTTATTATCACTCACAAATATGCCATATTTCAAAATGTGCCAATATGTAAATTCATGTATATATTAGAACATTTTGAATAAAAAAACTCTAATTTTTTGCAGGTGTGGGTAGAAATACATCTACTTTTAGATGATGTTAAAAATTGTATAGGTTATAATTCAAATTTTTTTTCGAAAAATTTATAAAATTATTTGAAACTACAAATGTTAAAAATAAATCATAACAAATGGGCGAATTTTATTTGGAATGAACCTAAATTTTGAAATGTGGAAGGAAGCATCAAATAAGTTTAATAAAAAAAGAGATATTAACAAATATATACCAAATTCAATTAACATTGAGAAGCTAAAATTTTGAGAGCTTATTTTTTAAAAACTATGTGCATTATTTTAACAAAACTTGACAGTTTGGCATAATTTGAGTCGTAGAACCAAAATATGGAAAAAAGTGGCATGTCAGAAAAAGTCCGATTTTGTGTCAAAATACCTATATTACAACAATACTATATATAAATCTAATATATATCCTAAGTCGTGCTTTTGAGACATGAAAAACGCAATTTGAATTTCGTCGATTGGCTCAGCAGAATGGGAAGTATAGAACTGTCCTTCCGCCCCCTTTTGCGCAGTGTACATACATTTAAGATTTATATTACATAAATTCTTTAAAAGTCAAATTCAAAAGGTCTTACCATCTAGATACAACATTAGGAGTCATACTTCCAGGCAAAATGTGGCGTGACAGTCCAAAATCAGCTGGTAGAGCATATAATTAATAACATCTTAATAACTGATTTTATCTTCATAAAAAGTGAGGAAAAAATTTAATGAGCTTAAATTAATATCTTAGCATAATATTACTTCAGTCTACATAAGTCTACTCTTAAGTAACAGCAAATGAAGCTATATATTAATTTCGAATCTTTAGCAAGGTTCTAGCATCTAAAATAATTTAGGCATTTCTTCAATATTTAATTTAGAATTTTTCAGTTTCATAGCATTACTACTTGTAAATTCTTAGAGCATTATTTTAAAAAATGTAAATATCTAATAACTACTGACTGAATAGTGTGGAAATTAGAACACTATTAATGACAAGATTTAATCAAGAATTTTTATTTATTTTTTTAATTACTTTTTTTTCATTTATGTCAATATTTATTAAAAGTTCAATATATATATATATATATATATGTGTATGATCTTAAATTCATTTAGTGGGAAAACAAGTTACTACTAATTGCGCAATTGCTGCAAAGTAAGTTAATAATAATTTATTTCCTAAACAATATTGATTAATTGATTATATTATCTCCTAAGTTTAATTAAAGTAGAATTATTTTAAAAGAGTAAATCCATACTAGTTGAGATAAATGAGCAAGATTTAAAAGTAAGGAGGCTACTAACCTTCAATACAGTAAAGTTTTTGAAGAAGAACTTTAAAACTTAAAAATTAAAAAAATTAAAAAAGGTTAGAGATAATATATAAAGTAGGTACATTAGGAAAGAGAAAAATAGCGCTAATAGCTGCTATTTAGCATATCAAATGTTGTATGATCTTAAATTCCTTTAGTGCAAAAACAAGTTACTATTACTTGTGCAATTGCTGCAAAGTAAGTTAATAATAATTTATTTCCTAAACAATATTGATTAATTGATTATATTATCTCCTAAGTTTAATTAAAGTAGAATTATTTTAAAAGAGTGAATCCATACTAGTTGAGATAAATGGTCTTTGTGAAATTGGTTCTAAATTTTTTACATATTGTCTGTATATAACACATATATCCTATCATTTTTACTTTTTATTCATTTACTCTAAGAAATTTTTTTATGCAATCGTATAAAAGCCACATAAGGCAAGAGAATCTACTAAATTATAACTATATCTTGAATTAGCTTCAGTTTTGATTGCATTACTTTCCAATTCAACATTGTTACCAGCTATCAAAAGAAGAAAATTAATGATGTGAGATACACTGTAATTTCTACGTTGATAAACTGATAAGTTTATTAAACTAGGTATAGAGTTAAATAGTCTTCTTCTGAGACTGCACAGATTCTGTCTGTTTATAGTTATTTCTGTTTAAACTGCAACTTAAGTCTAATCCTCAAGTATTTGCACTAAAATTGTTTTGCATATGGTTGTCTGGATGACAAGTGTAATTTATATTATTTTCATTGTTCAAAATTTTGAAAAATGAGATAATTATTTCATTTCATCTATAAATAATTTTTGATTATATACTTTACATTAAAGAAGAAAACACATTACATTTCAAAGGAAGTGTGGTTTAATGTGTAAAATAACATCCTGGCAAATAAAATCGGTAGATGCAATCATGTTTCAGAAATTGTTGGATGGCAACCTGAAAGAATCTAGAAGCTCTATTTATCATCTATACACCTTGGTCAAGAGCTGCCACAGAATAAAACATTGTTTATCGATGTCCATCACACATAAATGACTGTAAGAGTTGCCATGTAATAAAGCATAATAATTTTATCTTTCAAATTTAATCTCTTTTTACTATCAACAAACTGAGGAAGCGAAAAACAATAAATGCAGTTCATAATAATAATAGTCTTTTTAGTAATGGATTCAAACTGATGTAAATTAAAATATATTTAACTTATTGTATATCCAATTGACAATTTTGACCAATATTTGGAGCTTTGTTATAGCTTATAAAAGATGTTTCTATTGCCATATTATGTAACTGGTATAGACTCATTAGCTCCTCTTAATTTATTAGATGTTTTGCATTTTTAAATTTTTCATTTTAATTGTAAACTTTGAGACATCAGGCTATCTTAAATCTTCAAATAGAAGTTTTCTTGTTTTTGTTTTCATTTTTTATTTTACAGCTTCAGGAAAATAAAATGAATGAAAAAGAACTTAAATACTATTATTAAAACTGCTACAAAATGAAAAATACTTACTAATCTTTAGACAGCCAGAGTGAGTAAATAAAATGTTTGATACATTCAAATCCCTAAGTAAATTTTAAAATAAGTAAAACAAACATTTAAATTGGCATAAAATAATAACACACAGACTTTTTACATACTAGCAATAATAATTTCCCTCAATAAATATTTATGACTAAATTTTAAAAAGCATGCTCTACATACCTATGTAAAACAAAACGCTTATGGAGGTAATCAACACCAGAAAAAAGTTGCTGCATAATACATTTAATCTGGGGGAGAAAAACAAAGTTACATTACCCAAAATTAAATTTAAAAAAAAAAAAAAAAAAATTTAAATCTAGGCCACATTAACAGTAATTAACTTAAGTATACAGTTGACAAAACCTGAGGTACGATTTTTTTTTCTCAATGAAAAAAACTAAATGCAAAGAATGAAGAAGTGTTTTTCACTGTTAAAAAAAGAAATAAATAAATAAAACGCATTTTGTTTCCTTTGTAATACTATACATAAAGTGATCAGACTTTTCTAAAACCAGTATGCATTAAAACAATTTCAGATAATTTTGTTAAAAAAAGGAATAAATTAAAGTATGAAACATAATTTTAAATGATTAATACTCTTGGTTGGGTTTTTTGCAGTTGTTCACATGTTAAGGCCCATCCACATGAATACACTCACGACGTAATTGCTGATATGAACCACACAGCGATGAGTTTTTTAAAAGAGATTGTAACTGTCCACAGAAATAAATTCATGAGCATAGTTTACAGCGTCCTCAATTTTCTCAAACCATATAGATTGGTATAAATTTCAAATTCTCATTAAAGGGAAAAACTGTTTATTTATAAAGCAATGATATGACCTGTATATTCATACGCTTCACCTGTATGTAACACCGTTAAGTAATAGGAACCGAAATAAATTACAGTTTCTATGAAATCAAATCTTCTGCCTTCCAAAAATACTCCTTAATTATTAAAAATATTCACTATCTCATGTGTAACTAGAAGCTCTATAAGTATCCCAATATTAAATACACCGAAAACTAATTTCAATATTATAACAGCTTCTAAAATAAAGCAGTAAACTGTGAGAGAGTATTAAATGAAATACCATTACGAAATTCAAGCATTTTATATTAAATTATATAAAAGCTACTACAGTTTCTCATATAATTTCACTAAAATTATATAGATATACAAAATTCTTAACAATATTATAAAAATATGAAGTAAAAAATATTTACTTGTGGTTGTTGAAGTAAAGGTTTTCCAACTTCATCAATCACTCTTGCAAGTCCATAAGCACAATATTCTAGAACTAAGAAAGTGCTGGAGAAGAAAATAAAAATTTCAGTTCTATGCTTTTAAAAAAATATTCTGAAATAATTGAAAATTGAAAAATAGTGCAATTTATTTATAAAGCAACCACAGAATAAAACTACTTAAAAATATTGTCATGCTACTGGAAATATTAGTTAATTTCCACAAAGATAAGTATAAAATATTGGTTCTGGATCTGTACCCCCAAGGTAACAAACAATTTACACTCTGCTTTAATAAAATTATACTTTAAAAAATACATACAATTATCATGATTTCAAGAGAAAGAAGATTTAAACAAAATTTAACATGCCATACAATATGATAAGCACAGGTTTTATTTTAAAAATCAACATTTTAGACACACCTTTTAAGCATATTTATACTGTTTTAAAATATACAGTAAACATATTTTCTTCCCTCACCATTCATAATGATTTTACCTAAGCTAATGAAAATTCTACATATATAATTAAACATCTTGTTTTACTACAAGAAACAAATTTTCTTTTGGTTCCCATTGAAGGTTGACATAATGCTAATAAATAATACAACTGCAGAACATGAAACGGTCTACTTTATGTACCCCTGAATGCACATTTCACACTGACAACAATATACATAAAGTAATTTTAATAATCAGCAACATTTAACATGACTATATTATTAACTTAAAAAAAATTAATTTATTCAATCAACGGTGCCACAAGTTCACTTTTTTCAAAAACAAATATTTGACTTTTATATCAATGTAATTAAAATAAGAAATTAATAACTGAGAAAAGCTGCTCTAAATCCATCATTACAACTATTGATTTAATGCTAATAATGGAATAGAAATGGCAAATACAAAACATAATAAAAATAGCTTTAAATAAGCAAGCCAAACAATTCTATGCTCAGATATGCAATACAAAGCATTTGAAACAATTTTCATTTATTATGCTACAGCATACATTTAATAAAATTATCAATTTCAGATATTAATAAAATCAATGGATACTACATCATATTAAGAGAGATATTAATAGTTTTCTGGTATCCGCCAACACATAATCCCAAAAATACTACTTGTGACTCTGAGTGCTTGGAAGCCTCAAAAGCTGCTTCAGATTCTTCCACAAAGATAAGGTTTAGTTTTTTTTTTTTTTTTTTTTTTTTTTTTTTTTTTTTACATTCTTCCTCCTCCTTAGGAAGGGTGAAAATGGTCATTTTTGTCCCTTTCTTTCTTTCTTTCTTTCTTTTTTTTTTTTTATTTCAGTATCAGAATTCTTTGAATTTAAGAGTGGCATATATGCAATAACAGCAGTCAAAGATTACCTTTTGCAGTTTTGGGTCAAAATTTTATGATTTTTATTTTCAATTATGTTTCTTTTCACCTGCTAAAGCTTTAGCACTTGCTCCTGCACCTCTTTAAAAGGCTTGTCACCAAGTCTTTTTCTCTTTGAAAGGGGTAATATGTAAGATAAAAAATATGTAAACCAAAATTATAATTTAAATTAGGAAATAGCCCTTTAATTTCTCATTTTAGTTTGAGTATTTCTCCTCTCTTTTCTAAAAATCATACTAACTTTTTCTGTATTCGGTTATGTCTAGATAAATCCTATCATATGATTTCTACACAAGAATAATGACATAGCTCAAAATTTCAGTAACCTAAACTTTTCTCTTAATAAGTAGATAACTGCACATTTTGCTTCTGCACTTGTTATCACTAAGATGCTACCTCCCTGCTTTTTTCCCTATCACAACAATATCAAAATTGTAAATGCTCTTGAAAAGGCAGAATGAGTGTGCCAATTTGTTTGTGGCCACAACATATTTATTGAAATGAAGATGAATATTTAATCTGCCTCGGATGCCAAATTTGTTGTTCATCATGCATCAACATCTCAATATCTATACTATCAATATTTCTATATCATTACACATATAAACACAGATACACACACATACATATATATAGCATAAAGGATTTGACATAAGGTCCCTCTTTTTGAAGAAATAAAAATATTTCATCTTTAACCTTTTCCAGATGGGCGTCCCATACACGCATTCCCTCAGAATGTCTCTTACAGCCGGACGTCTCATCCACACATCACTAGAGATTGAATTCAGAGAACAAGCGTTGCATATAGCAGGATTCGTACACATTTCTCACACGGAAATTAAGTACTTTTAAGGACTTTTTAGGACCATTAATGAAAAAAATTAAGGACCTATGAGCAAACGGGAACTGAATAAATTCAATTGAAAATATTATCTATGCCTGAATTTCACTTTTATAATACCATCCTAAAAATTAAACAGATCCCTGAGTAGTACGCATTATTACTAAACATGAATTAATTAACATAATTGTTAATAAGTTTAAGAATAAAATAAACTATGCAAATTTATCAAGTAGCATTAAATATTTTACATTTATGATAGTTGGTCATATTTGAACGTTTATATCGATTTCCTTCTCTTTTAAGCATCTTTTCTAACAATTAGAGATTTGTCTCAATATGCAAACCAATGCTCTCACTAGTTTCTGCGTGCTTCATCTCCTAACTTATCAATATCTCCATAATGTACCTATGAGGGTTTAATTGATCTGGTAAAAGTTAAATAGTCCAAAACCCCCGACAGACGCGAAGCATATTATCGCTATGTCTGAAATTAACTACAATATCAGACAAAGGTTTAAATAAGCCTCTTATTTAAAAAGAACTTAGAACATAAAGGCATGTTCTGATGCTAACAAAATCAATTACAGATCACGGTGACGTAATTAAACAAGAACAGTCAAATTCAAACTAATAATGTGGACTAGTGGTCAAAGATTATACAATTTAATTGTAATTTAATCTGACTCAATAACTCTATCATATGAGGAAAATGAAATTGGAAATTATAGTAAAGGTTGAAATCAAACAATTGGGTAATTTACATAATAATAACAGCACATATATTTGAAGAATAATTTCCTTTATGTACTCAATTTCTTTCTTCAACACGTTTCCTTTTCATTTTATAATTTTTGGATTTAATTAAGTACAGTCAAAAGTCATTAATCTCCGGACTCGTGGGGACTTCGGCGATTCCGGATTATAGATCATCATTTTAAATCTGGTAAGATAACATGCAGAAATTCTAAAATTAAAAATATGAAACCATAATTTATGAAATAAAGAACAATTATGATCTAAAGGTATCAAAATTTACAAAAAAAAAAAAAAAAAAAAAAAAAAGCTTAATGTTTATTTGTTTACTTTATTAAACATTTCTTTCAATGTAAGTTGTTTAAGTTGCTTCGTTTTATGTGATAATACTTTCTTTCTCCTTAATTCTATAAACAGACATAATTTCTTGTTCAGTTACAAAGTTCCGCTGTTCAAGTCCCGTTAATTGCTGTGCCGAGAATACCGACTAACTTGTCAATCGAAATTTTTTCGTTTTCACTAACCTCTCTGTCACATTCTTCATGTCTTTATCCATTTCTTGGAGCAATTCCACTTTTTCTTTGTTGGACATCGAAACATACTTTCGTTTTGTAGATCCTTTGGAAGTTCCAGCATCGGAAATTCTATTTGACATAATCGAAATTTCAAGTTTACGTTTATAAAATTGCTCTTACAGTCTGCAAAAAATAATAAGCGGGATCCAATTCGAAGATTAAGGAACAACGCAATCATTAACATTAACTGAAATAGATAATTAGATAATTTTAGCTTACACCGTCTGTTATACATTAAACGCGCAGGCGAAAACGTATTCTGCACTTGCACACACGCATATGCGCAGTAGTCAAGGTCTTACGCGCACGCGCAAAACGCCTGTGCGCATATGCCGACGCGGCGCATGTGCAGAAAGTTTTTAGCTTTGAGGTCCGGATTATGGGTGTCCGAATTAATGATTTTTGACTGTATTTCCGTTATTCTAAAAACACTAAATGCATTTAGAAAACACAGAAAAAGCGGCTAATTTTATTTCTTTAGTAATATGAACATTCATAAGCAATATGAAATATATATAGTAAAGGACAGTTACAGAGCTGATGTGGCAGAATTTCTAGAATTTAGTAACACATCGAACAACAAAATCTAGAAGTGGCAAAACTTTAAGAATTTAAAGCAAGCACTGGAAGCAGAATTTAGGATCCACAGAGATTGCATCAGGTGGGAAAATGCCTATTGCCAGCTATGTGTATGATGCATTAATAAATATTAGATGAATCTTTTAAACTTAAGTTTTCAATTTCTTTATTAATAAAAAAATCCCTTTCTAAAATGCCTGCCTATGTGATAAGATCAGAGGCATTTTTGATATTTTCCATGCTTCTGTCTAATGAAAAGTAGAGAAAATAAAGAGAAGATAACCATGTTAAGATTAAGATTCTAGTATCAGAAGTAATACATTCAAAGATTATGTTTTCATTGTTCTTCCAGATGTTCTCCCAAAATTAAGAAATTCTTTACAAACTTTCTGTAAAATACATTGTTCTTCCAGATGTTCTCCCAAAATTAAGAAATTCATTGCAAACTTTCTGTAAAATACATCCACTACGTGTTGATACCATGGAGACATTTTTCATTTTGTCACATATTTCTCGAATCTTCTAGAATCTAGGTCTATAAATCTTGCCTTCAAATCCTTCTAAACTTTCCAAGCTGCAATGTCTAAAATCCTAAAGAAAAATTATCCCTACCATTTCTGTAACAGAAAAAAAAGCCAGAAATATTTTGTAAAAAAGTAGGAGGGAAAAAGTATAAAATTAATTTTATAGAGAAAACTGATGCACATTCTGAGAATTTTGAATATTCTGAGACAATTACATGGGAGAAACTCTTACTATGAAAAAATTAAAAACAAGACATTTTTAATTAATTACACAGCTAATTTTGCTTTTGCTAAGAGCTGTTTCGTAAATTGTGCTTTATAGCATTATACCTTGTTTATTTTTCAGATTTAAAATATTGTATAAGTTGCCAAAATGAAACTTTATAATATGACAGCGAAAAATAAAAATGTTTTATTTTAATGTTATTTTTTAAATATAATATCAATATACTACCATTATTTTAATAAAATTTACGATGTTTTAAAAAAAATCGTTGAAAAATTCTCAGATTTTGGAATTAAAAAGTTTTTATAGAAACTAATCTTAAAGTCACCAAATTTAGAACCGTTTAATAAAAGAATTCATATCCCCAAAAGCAAAAAGTTGTTTAAGAGCTCTTTACTAGAAAAAATGAATTTCGAAATGCTTATGTTTCACTTCTTGCTTAAACTCGAGTATCCCATCATTTATATTAGAAATAGAAACAAATTACAACTCATGAACCTATTCAAAAGATTACCATATATACGGCAGTGAATCGCCAAAAATATTCTTCAAAATGCTAATTCACACTCAAAATGACAGTCGTAAAAACAGACAGAAATTTTAGATAATTAAAATTAAGGACCTTCTGTTGATTTTTATCAAAATTAATGACTTTTAAGAACCAAAAATCAATTCCAAAAAATCTAAGGACTTTTAAGGACCGTACGAACCCTGGTATACACATTTTAAGCCGGAACATTTTTCTGAAGACCACTAGAACGCACCCTAGTCCATTACTTTTGAAATGAACAGTTTTATGTTCCTGACCTTGAGTTTGATAAATTCTGCCTGACTTTGGTATTCCACTCATCAGCTGTTGCAAGGGGGGGAGCATAAACAGAGGTGGACTCTTTAAATCACCAGGTGCTAATATAAACATTCACGTGTCTGATTAATATCCAATTCCTTTTTTAATTCTATTTTTTTCTCTACTATGTACGATCTTTTAGGGTTACTATGTGGAGCCCTGTTACATTTTGCATTGCCTTCTGATATATTTCGGGTCCTTCTCTTTTTATTTCGGAAAGCCTCACCTCCAGTCCATTTATGACACAAAGGTGCTATTTATCAGAGGAAGAATACACTCGCATGGTCAATGAACCATTTACTAACTTAGATGAGAGTGATGATTCATTTTCTAAAAGAGTTAGAAAGTGATACTTCTCTGCGCTTCAAGATTTACCACACTCAGTCTTCATTTTAAATTTTGTTACTTCTTACTGTAAATAGTCTTCATTGTAATTTTTTTTTATTAATTTTAAACTTTATTGATGAATTTTATCAATTAAAACTTTGGAATAACTTGAATAGAGCTTCCGAAAATTATTTTACAAGATAAGCAAATTTTTTTTAATATATTTTCATGTAAAACAAAGAAAAAAAGGTTATTAAATGCTAATTTTAACATATATAAGAGCTCAAGTAATAATTTAAAATGATACCAAAAATTACAATATGCTAGAAGAGAAACTTTTTTTTTCTTTAATAAAATTAGGCTTAGCAATGCAAAACTCCCATCCTGTACAGTGACTGCCTTCAATTCCCTTCCATCCCGCACGAGCGTCTTAAACAAAGGTGTGTCGTTGCGAAAGGGTTAAGTAAAAGGTGAAAGTATTTTGCCTAATCATGACCTGAAACAAATTTTTGCTTCTTCAAGAAAAAGGACTTCATATTTCCCTTCTTTAAAATCAATAGTTTTGCTATAATCTTGCTATAATTTGCTACAATTTGTATCTTTGGCATTTATCAAAAGCATCTGAGCTGTGTTCAATGAGACTGAAGTCCAGACAATATGCAGGCTCTATTCATATGAGTGATATTCTCATGTTCAAATAACCTCAATAATACTCTCTGTCTTGTGTCAATAAGTACTGTTGGCCACTGTATTGACAGGATCTAGTTCTCATACATGAATGACACCTGCACTGTTAAGACCATGAACATACCAATAAACACTGACAGTAGTTTGTTTCCCCTTCTAACCACATCATATGAAGTCCAGAATTGTTCTTAACAGAGAATCTAAATTCATCTGAGAACACTATCACTGATCATTTGTGATGGCCCTAGTGATGATACTCTCTACATCACTACAATCATACAAAATCAGCAATGATAGTGATTGGCTCTTTTGCATATAACTCAACACTATAGAGCTGACAGGAGATGTTTGAGCAGCTATATGGGTTTGTGTAACATTCAGAAAATCTGTAGCAATCTACGCAAATATAACTTCCCCCCTTTTAAAGTCCAAATAAGCTGATCATTTCTTTGTTGTACTCTTTTTACAACCTCCACCATGATTATGCAGAACTCTTTCTTCGGTTTTGGCAGTTTTCTCTATCAAGAGATGATGGTTTTTGAAGTAGCTATTTTTATCATAATTTCAGTTAACATTTTGCCCTATTTCTAAGCATCCAGCAACTCCTTCATGATCATACTCGAATGATGCTACAGAAGCATTTTGAACTGGTATTGTCATAAAGAGTATTATAACTAAAGATAAAAATATGTCCAATCTGTATCACATATTTAAATCTATATTAATATATAATTTACCAAATATGCAAATGAGATTTTCATCATACCAATTCCCTGTAACTTATTCTGAATTAGCTTGCAATTTATTTCTTCTTAAACAGATGATAAAATTTACATAATAGCACTTTGTTCACTTTTCATTTGCTTGCTTAGCTGCTAGTTGAAGACAGGAAAAAAAAAAAAAAAAAAAAAAACATTCTCTAGCAAAAGTCAAGCAATGTGTATTTCCCTCCTCTTCTACATTAGTACATAATTATTACATAAACTAGTACAAATGGCTTACCTTTCAAAACTTCTCCCAACTGCTACAGCTCGCAAGTCAATAATATTGTCATGTTGCAAAGTCTTTAATATTGTGATTTCACGAGTAAAATTTATAGGCATACCTAAAAAGAATTAAAGCAGTTCAAATCAAGAAAACATATTTGAAAGCTGCATGCTATAAACTGTTACTGCTTTCCTTCTTCCCCCCTCCCATGCAGAGAATGTTTTCTGCCATTAAGAAATAGTGCCATTTGAAAGTATTTGTTAAAACTGGTATTCCTCTAAAAAAAAAAAAAAAAAAAAAAAAAAAAAAGTTTCAACACACTTTGAACCGAGATATTAATTTTTCCCCCTCATACTTACAGATACATTGGGTACTGCTTTTAAGTTATTTAATACTTAAAAAGACCGACATTAATTAGATTTTTATTGATTATCTAGAGTTTAGCATTATCAGTGATTATTTTTATGAAACTGCTTTAGCTTTTTAACTTTAAACCATTAAAGAAATTAATTGACATTCAAATATTTCTACAAATGTTTCTGGAAATACTATTTTTAATCAATTAATTAGAATAAAAAATATTTGTACAGAAGTTTCTCAGCTACAAGAAGAAATTATTCTATTAACCAATATTTTAATTAATAAAATTCCAAAGCATTTTATTAAACATTCTCTCAAAAAAGCTGGCATAGTCTAAAAACAAAGTATTAATTTACAGTAGGAATCCCTATTTAGCAAATAGCAAGGTGGACAGAAATTTATAATTATTTTCCTTTAATAGCAAGAACATTTTCTTTTCTGTGAGACACAACTATATGACCTGGAGTAAAAAATGTTTTTGCAAAATTACAGCATCAAAATTATAAACAAACAAAACGGTTCGAAAATCTAATAAAATTATTTTCAATGTACACTGATCGAGAACATGTAAATAGCAGCAGTCAAACATATGAAAAAATAATAACAAATGAAAATTTGATCCAAAAAAACATTAAAAAGAAGGTTTAGATCTTAAAAAATTGCTTTTCACTTTTGGTTTTGGTATTTTTTCCACCTATCATGCAATTTGCCACTATGCTTCTGTTTTTATTTCCTTGCATGAATTAAAGAAAGTATTGGAATTGGGAAAAATTTTGTATATCATATTTCAAAGAAAATATCCATTTTGACCACTCGCGAATTCATCTGAATGATGTTCCTGTATGACACCTGTACGTATGAACAGAATAAAGGACTGTTTTCTAAAACAGATGGTAAAACAAATTCAGAAGATATTTTCCCACGACATTTGTACATATGTATGTATCATGCATAACTAAAAAATAAGTAGCCATAGAATACTGAAATTTTGTATGTGGGGCTACTATAACATGTAATTACACATCTCCCTTTTTTGTTGCAAGTATGTAAGTATATATATATATATATATGTATTGCTATTCTGCATCCCTAGTGCAGTGAGCTCATTTTTTTATTCCTAGATGTAGGTAAACTTTTATATACTTTTTTACTTTCTTATAGGTAGGTAAACTGCATTTGTTGTTTTAAAAGTGAATTATGTTGTTCTTATGATCCAGTTAAGGTTTTTTTATGCTTTTATGCATGCAAAAGTTGTAGAATTATCAACAATTTAAAAGTGCCATTAAGCCTAAGGAGGCCATCATTTGTTCACATTTGAAACTCAGTATACTAGTGAATTAAGTAAGATGGTGCACCAACTTCAATGTCTTTTTGCCCAGTGTGGCCAAAAGTTAACTTCTAATTTTGACCAACAAAAATTTTGTCTTTCTGTCCACTGGCCGAATTGCTTGTTTTGGCTTAAAAACTCTAATTGAAAAAATAAATAAATAAATAAATAAATAACTGTTTTTGACTGGTGTCTTGGGTTATTCCTTATTTAACAATTTTTAATGAAGATTGAGTTTTGCTGCAAAGTAAAAACTGAATTGATTGATTAGAAATATATCTCTAATGAAATTTGAGGAAATATGTTTAAGTGCAGCAAAAAATTTGTATAATTTAATATGCCATACAAGTCATGTGGTGTCCACATCAAGCATTTTGTTTTCACATGTGTTTTTTCCTGAATTGAGTAGGGGATGGATTTTAAAAGTATTTTAAATTTTATTTAAATTTATTTTGCATTATTACCATAACCTATTGCTGCTTTCATCATGCAACTGTATTAAGTTTCCAACTACCTTGTATTTATTCATTTATATATCTACATAAAAATGTAATAAAATTTTAAAGACATTTAATTGGCAATAAACCTTTAAATTTCTAATTTTCGCTTAAAGTACAAGCCTCATCCAAAGTATCTGCAATGCAAAAACTCTTGCCCAGTTGCTGTGCAGGATTTCAACAAAAACTCTAAGCTTATACATGTTACTGCAACTATTACACATTTTCCTTTGCAGCCTACGCTTGTTTGAAAAAAGGATGTCCCTTCGTTTGGCTACATCCATTCATTATTAAAAATGTAATATGCCATAATTAAAATTGTTGGGTGCAGATTACCCCCATTGTGCTGTGCCATATCGTAACATGTGTCTGAATAGAATAATCAACAAGTAATAAAAATATATTTGGATTATGAAGTGTTGTTATTCTTCAAAAGTTTCTGTTATCCTACTATAAAATCTATCGTGAGCTACATCTCATCTTTCTCTACTCTGGCCATTGCTTGAAAAATAATTGATGTCTTCCCTAGTCAAGCACTCATCTAATATCAAATTATCTGCAACAAACTAAATTATTATCATATATATATAATACAGTATGCACTTTTTTATGCTATAATTTTGCAATTTTTTTCTCTATTTAGTTTCTATTTTATTTATGTTATATTTATGTTATATTTATGTTCTATTTATGTTATCTCTCTATTTAGTATCTATTTTCTCTATTTATTTCTCTATTTAGTCTTTAGGGACTGGACTGATAAAGATACAGATTACTTTGATCAATTTACTAAGATTATATTACATTAGAATACCAGAAATCCGCAAAGCTTGGAACCAGAGGTTGTGTGGATTTTAGGATTTTGCAGATTTCAGGACAGAAAAGATAAATCATAATATTCAGACTAAAAGTGCAAAATAAATAAGGCATATTAGATATATTTAATTAAATTATTATATACATTATTGCAATAATTTATTACATGCATTAAATTATTATTACATATATAAATTTATTATATTATTCATTGTATTATATATACACAGCATCAAGGTTTGCCGATTTCACCTCATGCAGAGATTTCCGGTTTCGGATTCCGGTGTTAGAATCACTGTTGCTGTAAAATTTCAACAGCTTTTCTTTATTTTTCCGTATATCATACACAAACGTATTGCAATTCCGTACGATTATGCTATAAACCGAGGAGTAGCACCTGTCTCCATCTTTTGCAGAATTTGCATTACCATCAATGGAACGTGTTTACGTTTTTCAACGTTGCAAGTAGTAAAATCACGAGTGCGTTTCTAATCTGTAATTGTATTAAAAAGGGCTGAAATTTAAAATATTCTTAATTTATCCACAAAATATCCGGATTAAAAAAAAAAGGCAGCACTAAATAATCTCATGAAATAACAAAGCTCAGAAAATACAACAACCTGAATCATGAACTTGAAAGAAGAGTTGAGTGAATCGTCTGATTTCTTACCTCAATGCAGATTAGAGGGGGAAAAAACTTTTATCATGATGTGAATAATTTGGTATTTCTGTTATGACTCATTATTATTTGGTAATTATGACGTCATTATTCGATAAGTATTTTTTCTTCGATATTTTGTACTCAATGTTGCGATTTCCGGAACCTATAAACTGAATGTTTATATTTTGAGAGGCAACGCAGATTTCAGGTCGGTGAATTTTCGGTATTTGACTGTATTATGCTTTAATTTGCATCTTTGTTGGTTCAGAAACAGGTTGGTGTATTTGTTTCTTCTGTCGCAGCAGCCCCCTGATGATGATGGAGCAAAGATGTAATATAATATATAATGTTAATAGTAATAATATATATACATTTTTCCATTTTTGGTTTTGGCATTTTTTGTGCCTTTAATGCAGTTCAGCACTGTGCTTTTAAGACTTTTTTTGGGGGGGAGGCACATGGTTTGATCCAAATTGAATATGGGATAAAATTTAAACTTTTTTTTAAAATGTACTTCATTCTACCACTTGCTGTTGCTTTCTATGCCCAACTGAATCAAGTTTCAAACTGCTTTTTACTTCGTATTCATTCATATATATACATATATGTAATATTTTTTATGTGTAGTCGTGATAGCAGAGCAGCAAGACGGGACGAAGATGTTGATACCGAACCAAGTTCAGCTAATTACCATCTTTATTTCCAGGCACATTAGAATAATTCTTTGAAGACAATATTTTTTTTATCATAAACAATTACAATAATTTCTTATATACACAAATTAATAAGGCAATATCATTTTAGATGGACACGCAAAGCAGTGTGAATCTTGGTGTGGCAGAAGCTAGGAGAAGATGATGCAGTTTATTTTCGAGAAGTATTTATACAAAGTACACACAGAAAGTACTCTCAGCTATGATTGGTTAATTTGAGGTTATTATATACTCATGGAAGGATCTCGAATTTGGGAGAACAGATGAATTTAGGGAAAGCGCACCAAATCTAGAATCGTTAATTTTGAGGTTGTCAATTACTTTTAAAGCAGCTATTGTATTTTGTTATATCTTACATATATATATAGTCAGCCTTGTTATTACTTTAGGAAACATAATTGACTGTTCTGTTATACTTTCTACTTGTGATGCTGATTTCATCTTGTACATTCATCATTAAAAATACTTAAAATTTACAATAATCATGTTGAATACTTCTGACTGAATATTTAAGTGATCAGTGATTACTCAACAATTCAAACGAATATCCATTCTATGTTATGATATCAATAGATAATTATATCAACATAATTTAGAATGTCTTAAAAACTGGAAGCAAAATTTATCATTTTCTAACATATAAAACATTATTTTAATAACTTACATTCATATTCTTTCCCAATCTTAAGCTTTTTTAAAGCCACAATCTCATTTGACTTCTTATCTCGAGCTTTATCTGTTGAGATGAAAAGAAACTGTAAGCTCCAACAAAAATAATTTCACAGGAAATGAATATAAAGTGTATTCATTAAGTTTTTATTATCAATGTAAAAAATACATCACTAAAGACATGCAATTAAATGAATGCATAGGAGGTAATTTTTAATTAAGCTATAAAGCATTTGATACTTTATATCTTCAATTAAGAAAATATGTAATTAATATATCAAACATGTTTAAAACAATAAATAACTTTTATACTTTATTTTATTAATAATATAATATGTGCAGTAAAAGCTCTATCCGAAAAGCTTGGGAAATGCCGAATTCTGGATACAAGAAAGTTTTGGATAATTTAAAATATAAAATGTGCAATTTATTGTAGAAAAGCTAAAGCAATCAAAGAATTAATTTACAATCTAAAATTAGAAAAACAGTCATTTTATTTGTTATTAACTTGAATAAATACATTTAAATTATGTGAGATTTTGAAAGAAGGGAATTCTAGACTTATAAGGAGAAATAAAACATCATATTTGGTTACCAAACTCTATCGAGCATGAAATTTGATGGAAATCTCCCCAATCTTGCACTAGTCATTCCGGAACGTCTCTTTCTTTATTCAATTAATCTATGTATTATATATATATAAGTTACAGGACAAAATATATAAAAAACTTAAAATGCTAGTCATAGTTCTTCATTTTGCATAGCACACAGTGTTTACCCATTTTTGCATAAGTCACACTTTTCTTGATGTCAGGATCCCATAAATTTGAAAATACTGTATTGCATGCTGTTACATTAAAGACAAGACAAGTTCAATCTTTTTTTTTTTTTTTTCCCCAAAAAAATATGACTGCAAAACTGATAAACAGCTATAAACTTCTAACTTTTTCTTTTTTCTTTTTTTTCAAAAATTAAACCTACTTGTCAAGAATTTATTGGGTTTACATAAATTCAAAGTGTTATATCACATTTATCATTGCTGGTGCTACATCACACTCTTTGGCAGCAGTTTTTGGTTGTTTTGAATTGAGTCCTATTCATGCTTAATGAAAAAATGGCTTTATAAGAGTTACAAATCTGTCATCTGCTTAACTTTACATTTAAAAAAAGGTTCTGAAATTCTGGTTACTTGAGCTTTTCAGTTAACTGAATGCTAGAATGTCAGGCTTTAATTATAATTTACAATCCACTGAATACATTTCATTATCATAATTTATAATGTGTGTTATTGTTATATATAAATTTTAACAGCTGTTCTACAGTCAGTGTTCAATAAATAAATGCATTCTGATGAAGCTAGATGTTGCATCAACTTTGGGATGCACTACGTCGCTACTCACCAATCATGTACAGTCAAAAGTCGTTAATTCGGACACCCATAATCCGGACCTAAAAGCTAGAAACTTCCTGCGCATGCGCCGTGTTGACACATGCGCAAAGGCGTTTACGAGTGCGAGTAAGACCTTTACGACTGCGCATATGCGTGTGCACAAGCGCAGAATACGTTTTCGCGTGCGCGTTTAATGTATAACGGATGGTATAAGCTAAAATTAACTAATTATCTATTTCAGTTAATGTTGATGATTGCGTTGTTCCTTAATCTTTGAATTGGATGCGCTTATTATTTTTTGCAGACTGTAAGAACAATTTTATAAAAGTAAACTTTGGATTATGTCAAATAGAATTTCCGATGCTGGAGCTCCCAAAGGATCTACAAAACGGAAGTATGTTTCGATGTCCGTCAAACAAAAAGTGGACTTGCTGCAAAAAAATGGATAAAGACATGAAGAAGGTGACAGAGAGGTTAGTGAAAACGAAAAAATTTCGATTGACAAATTAGTCGGTATTCTTGGCACAGCAATTACGGGACTTGAACAGCGGAACTTTGTAACTGAACAAGAAATTATGTCTGTTTATAGAATTAAAGAGAAAGTATTATCACATAAAACAAAGCAACTTAAACAACTTACATTGAAAGAAATGTTTAATAAAGTAAACAAATAAATATTAAGCTTTTTTTTTTGTAAATTTTGATACCCTTTAGATCATAATTGTTCTTTATTTCATAAATTATGGTTTCATTTTTTTTTAATTTTAGAATTTCTGCATGCCATCTTACGAGATTAAAATTGATGATCTATAATCCAGAATCGCCGAAGTCCCGACGAGTCCGGATTAACGACTTTTGACTGTAGTGGATAGGACTATAAAGCTGACAGTTTGCCACATCTTTTGTTGCTGCATCATTTCAATGCTCTGGTAATACTAAAATTCAATTTTATTTTGTGGATGTTTGAACAGTCTTTCAGTATGGATGATACCTTTATTCTTTGTTGGAAGAACTTATTCATGACTTATTAGCCAAATTTTGTAATCCATACTGACTTTTTAAAGAAGTGGGGAGTCAAAATTTTAACCAAAAAAAAAAAAAAAAATCAACTGACAATGTCAAAAGAAAGTTCATTCTTCTTGCTTACTTACGACAACATTGCAGCATAATTATTCGAGGTGAAATAAATAATTTATCATATTTGGCACTTTGATACACAATTACAACTGGTTCCCCATTAACTAAAAAAGCACCATACGAAAACTTTAAAAATACAACTTTTATGTACACTTTACAATACAAATTTTTTTAATGTTCAACCTAAGTTATTAATGTCAAGAAGAACTGCCTAAAATGCATGCAATCATCTGTAAAATACAGAGTTTCATCTTGAGTCTGAAACAAGTTTTGCAGAAACTAAGAAGTACACATTAAATATAGATTGTTATAAAAGAGATGCATGATATTGCAACTTACATACAGTTCCATATGCTCCTTCACCAATATGGGTAAGTTTATCAAAATCCGACACAGGACGACACTTTCCAAACTGAAAATAAGATGACATCAATTACTACACATGCTACCTTATACAATTATAATACAGCTTAGAAATACATCATGAATAAATTTTGTGATCCATTTAATCAAGAAAACAAGCATTTACAAACTTGTTACCAATTTTGAAGGGAAATCTTTCTTTGCATATCTTTACATCTATTTTTACAACCCATTCACTGCCATATATTTTTTACATTCTTTTCTTTTTTCTTTTTTTTTCATACGAGAGATGCACAATTCTCATTTGCTTTGTGCTGTTGTTCTCCAAAGATGACAAAAACTGCAGAACACAGTTTACCACTAAACTAAAATTTTGAAATTCCCATAGGAGAGATAATAATTTGCAGCCACACTGGCAAAATTATCTGCCGATGAGTAAAGCCATCTGAAGGAATGTTATGCGCATACCTGGAATACTGCGCATATACTTTTGAATTGACAAATAAAAGCAGTTTTTTTTTTAAATGCAGAACACAACTAATGCCACTAAATTTGATAATGACAGGGTTCTTTTAAGGTTAGCCCCCAATAAATCCAGCCCCTTTAATAAATGTCTCTTTAAAAATACATTTAACCCCCTTTTTCTAATAGATTAACCATTCCAGAATTCCCACTAATTTTTGAAGCCTCTGCACCAATAAAATTTAATCACAGGCTTTTATCTTCAGGATTATTGTCTTCAAGATTTACCTTCTAGATTACCAGCATACTCTGCTTACTGGGCCGGGCCCGAGGGGTCACCACTCCCTGTTCTCGGCTTTTCGACGGAGGCGTGACCTGAAAACCTGAAGAACTGACTGGTCGTTTAGATGCTTCCGCCAGTACAACACGGGCGGCACATCCCATCAGGACGTTACCTAGCAAACTCGATGCCGTCTCACACCAAGCTACAGAACCATCAGGTATACGTCTTACACCAATCCCCTGAGGTCCAGCCATATAAACAACTCAATCCCAAGTTCTGGAGCCGCCAGGCTCGTGATTTTATACGGATTCTAGCCAGTAACTTCGCAGAGTTCTCTACATCGACCCCGGGGGGGGGGGAAGATGAAGGTAAAACAAACAATATAAACTTACCGCAAAAATGCCTTTTTTTCTTCCACTACACTGTAAATGTTACATAAACTTTATCACTACCACAATCCAAACAGATCTAGCAGATGTTAATGCATAATTAAGGCATTGTTTAAATCTGATTCTCTTTTATTAGTGGGTAAAAAAAGCATGTTAAATTCTATCAGCAGCAGGTACACATTTCTCACTTCACGTCACACATGCCAATACCCATCAACCAGAACTTCGAAGCTTGTCTGTTCTTGTCTGCAGTGCATCTCAAAATACAGAAATGGCCAGAAGCCTGTCAATTCCTGTTGCATTTAATTTCATTTTCCCATTCCTGTATTTTCTAGAATCAGGCAATCAGAATATAGGGTTGGCCCTGCCATTTGCTCAACAATAATTTTTGTGGCTTTTTGATAAGGATAGATATAATCAAAAAATATTCAAAATTCATCTAGAATTTTTTTAAAAAATTGTTTGTTATATTACACAATTTTCATTTATTGCAAGGTTAAAATATTTCTGTTTTGGGAACAAAATATACAATGAAATGAGTTTTGATTAAAAAAAAAAAAAAAAAAAAACTATGCTGCAAAACTCAAATTTTACAGAAGGAAAAAAAATTACTGTCTTACCTCACAGGGAGGGAGATTATGTTTTTTCAGCCTCATACTTATTTATAGGTAAAACTAAACACTACACCAGCACCTCTATAATACCACAGAAGATTAAGGTATTGCTGTGTCTTCATGTAATTGGGCATTCCAAAGAATTTCCCACAGGTGAGGTGAAGGTCTACCAACAAACAACCTTTCAAGAGGATTTGTGTATTTTGAGTTACCCCTTGTAAAACAAAGGTACTATATAGTTACAAATATCTATGTCTTCACCAGGATTTGAACATGGGCACTCGGTACAACAGTCAACTCCACTAACCACTACTCCATATGGGTAACATGATTTTTGTACACAAATGAACTTCCATACACCAAAATGAAGCTTAAAAAAATTCAGTAAGTGAAATTTCAAGTTAATCTTTCAAAGGGTTTGGCCCTTAAAACTTGAAGTTGTCAAAATGTCATGATTAAGTGGGATCTTCATTACTGTAATTTAAAAATTATGCTCTCAGTTTGTATTTTTGACTTCATTTCTCCCAACAACCATTATCCCATTAGTGACATGGCTTTATTTTTTTTTATACATACTACTGATCTTTTTCAAAACCTGCTTGTTTTGAAAAAAAAATTATTCAAAATGTTTGGGCAAATAAAAGAATTCCTTCAAAAAATTTCGAAAATGAACTTGCAGGAGTATGCGGACGCTTTAAATAAAGTGTTTATATTTAATAAAAAATGAAAATAATGAAGCATTCAATGTTTCACTGATATCCTTTAGCTAAACTATACTTTTCATGTGCTTTGGCATGAATTCAATTCATTTTGTTTTATGTAATAATGTTCCATTATATTCCATTCTTCTGTTAGAGCTTTCAAAGAACTATTATGTTCTCTCCCGCACACTATTTACAAAATGTTTAAGAGGACTTAAGTCGGAAAAATGCTGAGAAGCTTTGATAATTTCAGGATAATTGTATAATAACCACAAGAGAACATTTAGGGCTGTTTTGGATCGCTAACCTGATACAAAGAATGTACTTTGTATTCCACATTTTCTTACAGATGGTTTTGGTTTGGTTTAATTTATTTAATTATGGCAAAGCTATCAAGGACTATCTGCCTAAAAGGAGGGATGCCTCTGTTCATGACTTTCTAAAGAAAATTGACTCGTATATATATATATATATGACATATGGGGAAAACCACGAAAATTCACATGCAGCCAGCTCCTTTGTCGGAATTCAAACCCCGGACCAAGCTACCAGCATTCCCTAATTTTACTACTCGGCCACAGGTGGGCTCTTCTTGCAGATGCTTTCATGTTTTCGTTACGAATATTTATATGTTTACAATGATTTATATCATTTTCTATAAAAATTAAATTTATCATCCCAGAGGCAGAGAAACATTCCCATATGCATTTTTGTATTCAACTCTTTGTTTGAATTTTGCCACAAAAGTAATTTGTTCACTGCCTCCAAATATATTAAATTTCAACTTGGCTGCGACCATAATATTGTTCCATATGATAAATCTTTGCTAACCATGGACCATTTGCAAAGACCAGGCAAATTTTCCCTGACAAAAAATTTCCTTCTAGCTGATCACGTATTGTTTCCATACGTCCTAATGATTCTTGCAATAATTTCAGGGTTAATTTTTATTGCAAACCATTCTAAATCGACTGAATGTTTTATAATACAGTACAAAGTCTGCAATCTGAACGTCCATTATCCAAAATGATCTATAATCCGGACTCAAAGCCACAAACTTTTTTTTTTTGTGTGTATGCTTTATGCATGTGCCTAATGCATCTGCGCATGCACGTTTAATGCCAAGCATGCGTGTTTAATGGCGTGTTTAATGTTTATGCGTGTTTAATGTTTAGCACAAGAAATGGAGCAACTTAAACAACTTACATTGAAAGAAATGTTTAATAAAGTAAACAAATAAATATTAAGCTTTTTTTTGTAAATTTTGATACCCTTTAGATCATAATTACTCTTTATTTAATAAATTACGGTTTTATATTTTTAATTGCCATCTTACCAGATTTAAATTGATGATCTATAATCCGGAAAACCCTTAATCCAGAATTGCCGAAGTCCCGAAGAGTCCGGATTACGGACTTTGTACTGTACTAATTTTTTTTTATCTTGTGCAATCTGTTGTAGGATAAACCTCATATATTTAAAGGTTAGCTCGGAATGTCTTCAGGACATTTTCAACACAGTTTTCATTATTTTATAGCATCAAAGATAGTTGAATGTTTTGTATCAATGATTTATTGAATATTCATATACTTTTATCAGGTTTAAATAACGAAATAATTAAATTTATAACAATTTGCTGTTAATTTGCAGTGTGTTACCATGGTCATTTCAGATATGGAAATATTAATGTATTTTGCTAAACAAGTAACAGATTTCAGATACAGTTCTTATGATGTATTTTCACGTAAACAAAAATATCTCATACAAAGCATTCCAAAACGTTTTTAAAGTTGTAATTATTATCCGAGTTACTTTTGGAACTTCTTTCTTATAGTGGACCCCACGACTGAATCGCTAATCAAACGAGATATCTCAACAAATCTGGCTATACCTTGCCATGTAATCATATATTAGCACCGGCTATATATCTTTATACCTTGCCATATAAACATACATTAGCACCATGTTTCATTTTTTACTATAGCCATGTATTCTTACATTCTTAATTTTTCATGAGGTTTTTGAATTTGCATTTTTAGTTAACAATATATTCATTGCTATTTTTTGTGAAATAGGATGTTAACTATCTTTAATTTACCAAATAATGAGGTGGATGCCATATCATTTTTTCAAGAAAGAGGTTTTTTTACCTGACAAATGAGTATGCAAAAACGAGCAAAAGATGAAACTGTACGTCAACAACAAAACCATTTGGAAGTGCAGTGTTAAAAACTGTGAAAAAAGGGAGGGCTTCTGTGTTTAAAATTGGTTCAGAGGTTCCAGAATATTGTTTGTCACTGCAATTAGATTTATGTGTTCTTGGGCAGAGGCGTTGATGTCTATGAAATGGTGTTACAAACAGTTTAATAGTTAGCTGCAGTTGACTGGAACAATTACTTCTTAGGAAATGACGTGAAAGTATAATTCTTATGGTAAAAATATATTTTAGGGCACCCCTTGACAAAACTTGGCAATTTTTGGCGTATTTTGGCTTTGTGTAGTAGCGATTTTACGCAAGCCAAAATAACAAGTCAAAGACTTGCACAAATTCAGTATCCATGTCTGCCAAAAATCTCCAAGTTTTGCTAAGGGGTACCCTAAAATATACTTTTACCACAATTTTATTACAAGGAATGTTTTCATGATATTTGTTTTGCAATAAGTAAAGCTTAAAACAGATATACCAAAAATAATACATCAGAAAAAATTTGAAGTCTGTATCTCAATATTTAATACAAGATCTATGTAAATAAATTTTAACAATACAAGTGTCCTAAAACAAATATCAGTACTTTTCTGTTTCGCCAGCGCAAATTTCGCCAAGTAGACTTTGCTGGCGACAGCATATTGTATATACACATAAAAAATGTTAACAAATGTTAGTTCTAAGAATTTTTTATTTTGATATGGTTTGATTTTAATATGGTTTAAAATTATGTAAAGCCAATAAATAAAGACAGTAAATTTGTAAAAAGACATTAATTTAAGAATTTATTATGCTTTCATGGTTCAACATCCTGATTCACCAATTCTTATCACGTGACCCCAAGTGATCTCACGTAAACTACACTACAAAAATCTAATTCTTTTCAGTAATTATCCACATTAATTTCAAGTTAAATCTTAATTTGGAATAAGAGTTTAAATGCAAGAATTATTTCAATTCGTATGAATAGCTTACTCGAATTATGTAAAACCGCAGTGCTTTACTTCACTAGGGCATTCTCATCAGAATTGATGAATTTAACCCTTCATTTTGCCTTTCTATATTTTCGCCTTCCGGTGAGCGGTTTGATTGCATCCTAATTGACTTAATTACCATGAATGGTCTTAGGGCATAAAATTTAACTATCTTGTAAAAATTCTATGTAGTTGCATGTCAGTACTGAAAGAAACAATCAATCTGATAAGAAATGGCTGCGGCTTGTTTTGAAAATGAAGCGGCTTGTTTTGAAAATGAAGCGTAAAAGGTTATCAGCAAAGACATTCTGTTTGGCATCAATTGTACCATATTGGCGACTTTATCGTTTGCGCCAGCAAAACGGAAAAGTACTCAAATATTAGCAACTGTATACTGCATTTTTTTAATACATAACGAATTAAAAATCACAGTACTCAGCTTCCTTTATGCAAATTGACTCTAATAAACGAATTAGACAAAAAATTAATTAAATTACAATGAGAAAGAATATGGATGATTTACACTACATTAAAAGGAACTGCATTCAACAAAGTCAGTTTTCTTAATTTTTCCAACTCTTAGTGTCTTTAAGCTCTACATATGATGTTTTGTTAGTATAATATCACAATATACATATATAATTTAAGTTTAAAAGCATTCTATTAAGAAAATATGCAAATTCTCAATAACACATAACTAACGCTAAACATAAATGCTAACTCTTTATTCCTTCCAGTCATTTTGCTAACTTATAACTACACGCTAGTATCAGTAACATCTGACTTTCACTGAAAGAACGATAAGAGGACAAAAATACTAAAAATCTTTTTTTAAAAATAAAATCATAATCTAATAGGAGCGTTCCTTACTCTATGCGCTTCTGGAACAACAAAAGGTCTCAGATCAAACGATATTAGTCTAAAGCCTTCCAGAGACGAATTTCCAGATTCTTCTACAGGAACATGTAGTAAGCCTGGTATAGCTTGACTCATAATATACTTCAAAAAATGCAAATCTTATATAATTGAAAACTTCTAAAATTCAAAATATATCACAATATAAGGACGTACGTTCTTAGACACAATATTTATAAACTAAATCATACCGCGGAAAATGAAACAAATACGTGTGTTGCCATCAGCTCAATAATTCATATAATACAAATGTAGTTCGAGGCTTCGCTTTCGCTTCAGACATTTTGAACGTGCAGTTTTCTTGTTTAGTATTATTTTTACGGATTCTGCCGTTGGCCTTCGTGAGTGAAGGTGATTGAATTTGCTTTTGCTTAGGAGAGTGCAGACTCTAAACATGTGCCGATAGGCAGGAGTAAACATGGCTGGACAGGAGTTAAGGTACTGGTGCCATCTATTGATGAAACAGGAAAACTAAAAGATAATTTCCTTAAAGGCTGAAATTAAATATGGATCGTAATTAGGGTCGTTAACTGGAATGATTTTTTTTAATGCGAAATGCCTCTAGAAAATCTAATTCATTAATGGAAGATGTTTCTTGAATAATTTTGGCTGCAGAAAGATGGAAAGTGTCATTTTCAGACCAACAATGCTGGGCAACAGAGGACTTCTGTGTTCCCTTTTTCCTAGCATATGCCTCATGTCCCTTTAAAATCACCTTTTTCACTTAAATGGTTTAAAAAATAATATACATCTGCAATTCGAAAACGCAAAAAGGGCATTACGAGAACGCATTGTGATTAAGAAGACAATCACAAACTGAAGCACACAAATCAACAATCTGAAGCAAAAAGGTTACGGCGAGCTACAGGAAATGAGGAAAAAATGACTAAGAGACTCAGCGGGCAAGCACAATGGCAAGAAAACTTATGCGCTCAAGAAACTGATGAATTAACCAGTAGCAGGCTCGACAGACAAAAAAAAAAAAAAAAAAAAAAAAAAAAAAAAAAAAAAAACGAAGAAACTTTTCGTGTTCAAGAAATTGAAGCAGAAACAAGTAGAAGGCTCATCAGACAAGTAGAACAGAAGAACGTCAACAGAAGATGCGCGATGAAGAAACAGAAGGAGTTACAAGTAGACGAAGACACAAGACTCTCAGCATCATCGTCAAATTCGAGTGGAGGAGTCAGAACAGGATGCCCCTCACAAGGCACACAAGTCCGGTAAGTTCGACCTGAAGAAAGAATGGCTCTACGAGAAGACGGGCTTCGCAAAAATACAGCACGACATTCTCGTAGCACTCTTCACAATGTAAGACGATGTGGACACGAAGTGGTTTTACTTTGAGCAACACAGGGCCAGGTGTAAAATATAGAGCTTATAAATTGACAACACGCCGCTCACTTTGAGAATATGCATTTTTTTTTGTAACTTTGACAACACGCCGCTCATCTGGCGGTCTTGCCCGCTAATACTACTAAAATCTGTGCGCGTCTGTCTATTTGTTTGTTTGTGGCATCTTATCCTCCAGAACGGCGGGGAGTTGAGTTTCTAGAGAAGTACACCCGGATTCCAAAAATTTGTGGGAAGTCATTTCGGCCATTCTCATCTTCATTCGACTGTAATCAGCCCAGATAGTAATTAAAAACTATGAAAATGGTAATTTTCGCACTCATTTTTCTGAGTGGCAACAGTCTCGCGCGCTAGAGAATCAAGGCCATACTCTAAGAAAGCACGCGATTCATGTGACGTTATTTTCCGCCGAAAATTGTTCGTTAAATAAATAGCGGCTATTGGCAGTCGTTTTGTTTCAGGTTAGGATAACTGAAACTGTGGCTTATTGCCACGTTAATAAGTTTTAAAAGATTTTACATTCTCGTTTGGCTTATAAAAATTATTTACGACCTGGTTGTTTCTTAGAAAGAATGAATTCATTTCATTCACATTAAAATGGTGTTATACATTTTCTTTTCCGTTGCACATAGAACTTATAAATTTTGCTTTGGAGGTAGGCCGATCATCTGGCCGGCTTGCCCGCTAGTGAAATATAAAATTCGAAATTCAAAATTCGGACTTCCGTATGCACATGTTCGGATGGAGGACTATGTTATTCAAAATGGCTCTATGCAGATTCTTCATTATTTAATCTTTTTGAAGGTAATACAGGGTGCTAGTATTTCGTGGCCACAATTTCAAAACTGGTTCAAACATTTAAAGTTATATGCCGCCAAATCCCTTTTCAAGACTAACAGCTCATTAGTGCAAATCCCTCTTGGGCTAAAAAAGAAAAAAAAAAAAAAAGGATCTATTTTATTCCTATTCAGGACGCTTTTCAAGTGTTCCGCACTGTCACTGTGCTAAAAACGACATACTCTATATATCTTCCATTATATCCCGCAAATTTAGTTTGTTCGAGCATTCTTGCTTGACAAAAGATAAGCTATTTTAACTTGTTTTTTGAATTTAACCAATTTGTAATTGCTTAAGAAACAGAGGAATTAACATGCTTCTTATTTACAACACTGTAAGCATATTTCGTAAGCACACATCTGTATCGCCACCGAGGGAGGGGCTTCTAGAGTGGACCAATGGGCGTCCAGTAATATTTTTGTCAATTCACATGACCTTTGCCGCTTTTTAACCCTTAGCCTGTCGAGTGATTTTCTGCGAATCCCTTTAAAACTGTCGCTAGTTTTGGACCGAACTTCCCGTAAAATGTCGCGAAAATAACCCTAAAGCTCTGAAAATTGTCAAGCAGTTCTTTTGTTATTTCCCATCCCTCCCAGAATTTTACTTCAGTGATTCCGCTAAGTGAGATTGATTACTAAATATTGTTCCGTGAGCTCTCAAGAGAATTGCAAAAGGCTAGACTCTCCGTGATGACCGTCTTAATGCCGCAGGGGGTACAGCTGCGAAACTTAAAAGTTTCCTTCCCTTAAACAATCTTATCTCTACATATCTTCTATACATATAATAAAAGAAAGAGTCTGTCTGTGTATGTGCCTTTCGTTCGCGCTGCGCGTAAACTAATAGACCCACGGCTACGAAATTTGGTACATAGGTACGAAAACGAAATTTGCTATTGAACGAAACGGCGATTTATTGAACGAAACGTTTGAAAACGAAACGGCTACGAAATTTGCTACACAAGAGCCAGTGCACTTCGAAGCGATTTTTTTGAAATTCGAATTCGAATTTTTTTTATTTCATGTTTTGTGATGAAATCGTGTCATTTTGAAACATAATGGGCTATAAGAAAGCGAGATTTTACTCTACACACTCCATTTTCACATCGTCATGAAACGTAGGCACTTAGCTATTTTACGAACTTAAAATAAATTTCGTGTTTTAATAAATCGATTAAATACGAATTTATTGAACAAAGGGAGCTTAACACTTTTTCAATGGGATTTTTTCTAAAAACGTTTATTTTTAAAAATGTACAGTTTATTTTTCTTTGATTTTTGGACACGTTAAACTTTTATCCTTGCGAATGCTTTTACAAAAAGAATTTTGGAAAAATGATAATATTTTGTATTTTTAAAAGATTTTTAAATGAAGCTTCCGAGTACACTTCTCATATCTCACATCTCTAAAAATGTGATTTTGGCAACAATTTTCCTGTCTTATTGTTGTTGATAGATTTTTGATGAAATCGCATCATTTTGAATACGAGTAGTTCATTCTTTTAGAAATATGGGTTTGGCAACAATTTTTCATCATATTTTTAATGTCACTGTTTTTAAGAGATTGGCATATTTCTTTGTCATTTTTATATAATATATATATTTTTATTGATTTTTTTTTTGATAAAGTTGTTCTGTGGAGTAAAATTCTGCGCGGAATTTTATGTTTTTTGAGTTGCTTTCATGTCATTTTTTGCTTATTTCACTGTTTATAAGATATTGAAAAGTTTTGCATGATTTTTGTTCTTCTACGGAAAGTTGGTTAATTTATTAATTAGGATAATTCATATTTGTATTCAGAGATATAGCTTATTTCATTGTAATTTTTTCCCTTGAAAACATAAGATAAAATATCATTAATTATACTTTGCTTTTCAGAATTTTTTTTTTTTTTTTTTTTTTGCATTCCTTTATTTTATTTATTGCTCATTTCACTGTTTTTAAGATATTGAAAAGTTTTGACTGATTTTTTTAGGAAACAAAGTTCTTAACCTCCTTTATACCATTTGAGTTCTTAAGATTTTGCAAAGGGAATTTGATTAATTTATTTATTAGGATAATTAATATTTTTATTAAGGGATATTGCTTATTTCATTGTAATTTTGTTATACGTAATAACATTTTTTATGAAGTTGTTCTGCAGAGTAAAATCCTACGCAGTTTTTAAATTTAACGTTTGGAGTTCCCTTTAGCCATTTTCCCGGTACATTTAAAAGCCAGACGAAGGCTCGCAGCGAAGCTGCTAGTTTTCAAATAAATTTGTTTTAAAATTTACCCGGTTAAATTATAAATTATTACGCATTTTTAACCTAAGTAACCTAAATCTATATGTCACTGATTATCACCGGAATTTCAATGCAGACTGATTAAACTGCTATCACTAAAATTATATTCTGACAAATATCTGGTGCAACTTTCATTCCTTCTGATATATTGCTGAAACATTTCGTATTATTTCCGATTTTCTGTATTTTTGTCATTAATTAAAAATCTTTAAAACCTTCAGCATTTTCCTATATTCTTCAACTGCATGCAACTAATAATTATTTTAAATAATTTCTTTTTCCTTAATTATTACGTAGTTTTAAGAGAGTAATAAACGAAATATTTGGGTGTTTTTAAGGGTGATAATATTAATATTAAAGTTGCATTTTACTTTTTCATATACATTCAAGATATTCAGAAAGGGAATTATAACTTGAAACCGTTTTCAGTGTATCATAAATTTATTGATTCAAATTAAAAATTCTTGCTTTCCTGTCCAAGAAACACTAGTAAATTTTATCTGAAATAGGAAAGATGAGACATATTAATAACAAACAAAGCAATTAATTTGGAAGTCAAAAAACAAAAATCAGCGTTATATTTTCAAATTTTCCACAGGACTAGTTTTCGATGGTTTTACCGAACCATCATCTTCAGCTGCAAAAGCGCAATGAACGAGATGAGATATAATGAAAATTAGATTGTGAAGATTTGAAAATATAACGCGGATTTTTGTTGTTTGACTTCCAATTTAATGTTTGTTCGGCTTGTTATTGTATC